CAATGCTTAGACACTGTATTTGTATTAACAATGCTCTTGCAGAGGTACACAAAATGATATTTTTCTGCCTATAATTAAATCTAAGCACAGGTAATAAATGACAAAGGGTGTTTGATGCTTTCCAAGTCACATAGCTTTCATAGACTATAAAAGACCTTGCATATCCAATAATTTAAATACAACTTCAACTTTTTGCCTTGCTGAATTCATTTTGTGCTTTTGAGTTCTCTTGAAGCTATAAAGAATTATCAACTATTAAGAGTTTGAGAAAGTTGATCAGATTTGTAACAAAAATGCAGAGACAATCATTACAAAATACTGTCCTTTAAAAGTTATGTCACATTAGTTTTGACTCAGAGCATAGCTGGCAGCTGGAAAGATGGAATAACACTATGAAAAAAATCTATGAAACACCATCAAACAGATCAGATGAATTTTTCCTTTCTCTTTTCCCATCAATACATCTCTCCTTACAGTACCATTGTGTCTGTGCAGTGGATATCCCAGATGTTACATTTCTTTCACATTTGTTTTTGTCTTCAGTGTTTATTGGAATTGTCACTATCCAAATATTTTGTGTAATTTTATTCAATTTAACCCAACCAAACGGCACTGACAGTGAGTTTTGTTGGTAAAGTTGTCCTGAATGAAATTCCAGACATCACTGAAGACAATACACACTATATATGTAATATTTACAAAACATTCCACCAGTTTCATGGCACAGATGGATTAAGGATGAATCCCAACAAGCAATCACATCACTAAAATTATAGATCAAAATCTGACTGCCATTTCTGGCCTCTCCATTTAACACCGTGGGCAACAAAATATTTGCACAAGCAACAGGTTCAATGGATCCACGATCAACAGAGGAGGATCCAGACAACCATTTAAATACATTTCCATAATAAGTTATATGTATTAAAACCAAACCAAACCCAGACAAACCCAAAACAAACCCCAGTGTGTTCTGATCCTGGATTGTTCTGTGCACACCAGATCCACCGACTGATTGTTTGCATCTGTATCCTTGGAGGAATGTGGCATCTTCAACCTAAGGCATTAACAACCATGCACATACAAATGCTTTTATGCATATTCCACAGTAGACTTTTCACCCACAGTACAAAATAACAGTACAACATATTGAACAGGCTGTCACACCCTACTTACCATCATCTTGTTAAAAAAAAATAAATCCATTATGCTAATATACAATGAGAATTTTTTAAAACATAAATGAACAATACTTGCTCAAACAAGTATCATTAATTTTATCAGTGTATTCTCCAGAGTTCTTTATTGATCAGTCAAACAAATATAGCCTAAAACAAAACCAAAACCAAATGAAATTCAGTCCTTCACTGTAAATGAGAAAAGACAAGAGTAAAGTGACTTTCTGGCAGTACCACAAACCATGGACTGTTGCAAACTTTGTGCAAGAACTGGGATGGATAAGAACTGAGCAGCTGAGACCAACCAGCAATCTGCAGGTACACCAGTATTCTGAAGCAATTCTAGATAAGCTACAAAAGAACAGTTTCAATCCAGTTGCTTAAGAGGAGTTGTCTGGCAGAGGACAGTAAACATCAAGGACTGATAAAAAACAGTATTGAAGTATGCAAATATGACACAAAATATAATTCTGCTGGCTGAAATAGCTAAATAAACATTTATCAGTTTATTTAACTGATAATCCAGTTACTATACGACAAGGTAATGAAGCAGGTCCACCCTCTCTCTTACAGAATTCCAGAAGTAACTGGGGGGAAGCTTCAGGAACAGCTTTGCTCTGACACCAGGTTGTGCCTTCAAGCTGAGCTCTAATGTAGAGACCTGCTGCAAAGCCTTTGCCTCATTTGCATTAGCAAAACTTCAAAAAAAATTTAAAGTCTTCCAATCATATCAAAAGAGTTTTTATTTTCATTTGCTCCCCCTTTCCTCACTGTTCCCCCAAAGAGAACATTAATGGTCTCTCATGGAAAGGCACCTCATTCTTTACCAAAGAAGTAAAGAAAAAAACAAAACATGCAGAGTAGCGATAAAATACCCAAATAAAAACTTAACGCCAGGAAACGCTGCAGACAGAGTTCTTCTGGTTCTACATCAAAACCAAAACGAAGCTGCCTGGGCTTTAAAGTTTCACCTGTACTGAGAAGCACCAAAGCTTTCAGAGAGACGTGTGTCCTACCCAAAGATGCACTGCACGGATCTAGCACACTTCAGTACAACCAGAGGCTCATTCACTGAATGAGATCTGAGTTCTGGCACCATGTGGTGACACAGCAGCTGCTAAAGCAGAAAACCAGGAGTCCTGTCAGACCTTCGGGAAAGGCAACAGTAGGGGTGGGGGAAAGACCTGGAAATATCAAAGATTTCTCCTGCGCAAGAGCACGATTGATTTCAGTGACAGTGGAGGGAAGAAGCCAGCTTACAATGTGACAGGCACAAGCCAGCTTTGGCACTTGTGTTACTGAAAATAATGTGGTGGCTGTCCCCAACTCAGCAGGCAACCAGCTGTGAAGGTTTACTTGCAGCAGTGACCACTTGAGCAGCGAGGCATTTCTTATCCCAGGGAAAGCTTGCTTGCTACCTGTAAAGCTACTCAAGTCCAGCTGTTATGAAACAGAGACATGAGGTAATCATTATTTCCAGAAGAATTAACAGGATGCCAAGGGTGGCACACGAAAAATGACTGAGTAAAATTTTAAAATAATGAACACACGTAGGCTTAAAATCTACATTGCCTTTTTCCTTTTTAAGCCCTATCCAATGAAAGACATTCTAACAGCATGAAGTGCAAGTTGTCTTACACTGGCTCAAAAAAATAAAAAATCACTGCAACAATCAAACCCTGAACATTCCTTAATTAAATGGACAAGTCTTTTGGGAATGACATGGGCAGAGACCATATTTTTTGTAGACCAAACCTGAGCAGAGACTGGATTTTGTTTCTTTTCTGTAAATAGACAAAACAAGTATTTCAAGATACAGCTGAAGTGGTTTCAAAATAGCAATGACCCAGGTCACAATCAGAATTTTGTATATACAATTTGTATTTAACTTAAAAAAATAAAGAAGTTCAAAATACCTCCAGAGAACATTCTAGCTTAGCAAAATGTCCTGTACAAAAGTAGGCCACATCTGTTGGTTTAAAAGAAGTCCACAGCAGTTGGTCTCTTCTTAGCTGACATAGTAAATGGTTTCTTCATCTGGGGTTCTCTTGCTGGGGTAACTGTGGGTGACTTCAGCACCCCATGATGAGGTTTCTGTTCAGGATTGAAAGCCACACGGGAGGGTCCTTCTGGGCTCACTAATATACTTTTGTCAGTCTTTTTAAATTCTGTTGGAAAAACAAGCCAACAAGTTAGAAGAAATGCAGCTGCTGGAACAACTGGGCCTGTCAAACAACTGTGGAATTGCCCAGCCCTGCAAGTCTGCCCTAGATCCTTAATTCCACTAAGGATCAGAAGCCTAAGGCTGCAGAGAAAACAAAGAGGTGGTGGTGAAGCACATCTCTTAGCAGAGTCCCTTGGAGAACAGGGTCTGCTGCAATCCACTGAGAGGCTGTGAACCATTCCCATGGTTCCACAGACCACCAGAGACCCTGGGCCTACTCCTGAGACACAAGTGTTCCAGCTGTCCTGAAGAACACCACTCCTGAGTTTAAAATATGATGATGGCTAAGAAATGTCTCTGCTCTGACTGCTGAACAGCACTGCTCTAGTGTCTCAAGGTCATCCCTTCTGCCAGCAGAGAAGCACTTATCTTTCATTTTGTGCAGCTGTGTTGTATTAACATAAAGACGTATATCTAAATATACTGTTCTCAATTTAAACTTGATTTACTGCACACCTCGGTGAGTTAAAAATTAGCTAAATGAATACATGGAATACAATTCTATGCTATGGAGCAAGACATTTATTTAACAGGGAAAACACTGTCTGCTTACAGAAGGTCACATCTACTCGTGACCATCAATAAACCACAGGCAGCCAAGATAAAAAGGAAACTTTGCTATGTTAAAGTCTGATCTTATCAGCACATCAGCACTCTTTGTCCTGGGAAACAAGTGAGCAATGAAAGCTGTGAAACTCACGTGTTTCCCTCAGAGGTGCCCTGCAAACAGGCAGCTCAGGAACACGACTCCATCACTCTCCTGCAGTTTTCCACCTATGAGGCTCCTTCTGCAGGTCAGTAATGCAGCACCCCGGAATTGCTTAAGTCTAGCTGTTGGGCTGAATGTCCTAAACTTTCCCATCTCCTCTGAAAAGGAACTTGAGGAGGGTTTGTAAACTATATACAATTATTGCAACAAAAAGGGATCAGAATCATGCTGTTCTAGAGGTGTTCTCTAGATGTGTGTGAATGCATGAAGCTTCCCCCTCCCTCAGCCACAAGAGAGACTGTGGACACACACAGATATATCAGACTCACCAGCAGTCATGTTTTTATTCAAGCCAAATGTGACTTTTTTGCAGCTGGGTGACTGCAGCTTGTTCAGCTATAAAACAAAATGGAGACATGAAATAAGATTGCTGAGGCAATGCTATGATTTCTTTTACCTGTGTAAAGCAGCCTATTTCCTTCATCTGGTTTGGAACTGCCCCAATCCTCTAGCACTGACCCCTGCTAAGACAGCACTGTTTTTCTAGCCAAAAGCAAACATACTCCATTTGTGGAGAAATCACATACTCTCCTTAATGTCATTACATAATTCAACAACAAACAAGAACATATTTGTGTATTAAATAGAGTGGCCCCACTGCACTCAGGCCTCAAAGTGCTGAGAGGGCTTGAACAGATATTACATGTTAAAAAGGTTCAGAAAAGAGGGTAGTCTTTTGAAGCCCTGTGCTGTTAAAATCTCCACAAATGGGAAGAAATGGAGGCTCAAAGTCCCTCTGCAAGACTGAAAGTCAGTTTATGCTTTTGCTTTCTTGTGAAATGAGCAGACTCAGAATGGTGGGTGTTCAACAAGAAGGTACCTTTAAAAGCAGAGGGGAGGGTAGGAGGGGGTTTTAGAGGTGCCTATAACTCATTTTCTGAAACTCTGGAGCCATATGTGACTCTGCCTACAGGGAAATGCAACAACATTTCCACTTTTATCTGCTCATGGTAAGAGACTAAAGCAGAGTGGAAAAGACAGCATGAGGGAGGTCACACCCTTCGGTGGGGCAGATCTCTTGGGAAGAGACTTGTGCCTGTCCCTCTGTGAGATCACCTGACCTGTAAGGATGTCCTGGTGGAAGAGATGGCGTTTCTGGCCTTCCTGAAGAACACTCCCTTTGGTAACGTTGTTTTCTCAAATTTTACAAAATCACCCCCTGGTTTTGCTTTCTTTTTCTTTAATGGTGACAGGGCATCACTGCTTTCCTGTGAAGGAGGGAAAGGGAAAAATGCTTCAGTACAACAGTACTCCAATTAACCATACCTAGTACATTGGCTCGTCATCATGGTGAGCTCTTAAGATGCAATTGTGCAATTAGCACGACTGAAAGCAGAAATTTAAGGCAAGCTCTGTAGAGAAAGAGGAAACTATCAGTGCAAAGCACAGAAGGAAGAACCAGTAACAGATTTGCCAGGCCCATCAGAGTGCAAACAAACAAGGTTTTCTCCATGTGGATGAGGCTGCCTTGCAATTGATCCAGGTCTCCTACACACAAGTCATTTTTTTTTCCTTGAGCAGAAGCAAAAACTATTCTGTGGTACCTCTGGATGCATAAGATACACAACTAATGAACAAACCCACCTTTGGACTAAGATGGAGATTTTGGAGAAAAAAAATAAAGTGGAGTACGAAGTCTTTGCACTCTCAGAAATCCAGCTATTGTGTATTGCTTCTAGTTTGCTGCCTCAAATTCATACTCTTGTGGCATTTAAAGTAATTCTTCCTTCCAGCAGAAGGCAATTCTTAGGGCCTATACTGGCAGAGCTTTCTAACCTGCTGTTTACAGACTGTGGACCAGTCAGATACCTGTGGACTACAGTCCACAGTTATGCTTTACATCAACCTACAGATGTGAAATTCCAAAAGCAGTTCACTGACAAGCTGTGGAAAATGTCCAGGGGATATGACCTCTTTTGATTTGAAAATCACTTGTGCTTTCAATAAAGTGAAAAATCACAAGAGTTTTAGCTTCCTGAAATCTGGATACACCTGTGAAATAATGCTGATCTTGTCTGTTTTTTCCCCTTCTCCTCCTCCTCCTCCCTCTCAGGATTTGAAGCTAATTCTTTGGAGCTGTGTGTTGCCCTTGAAATCAAGAATCAAAACACTCCCCTCATTACTGGGCTCAAGGCCAGGATTACGTAACTAAAACCAGGAAATAAAACAACATATTATTTCTCAAGCAACGAAAGCAAAATTAGCAGAGCTTTATTTCCTCCACATTTGTGCATTTTAGCTTTACCCTGCCCTCCTGTTTCTTATCCCAATACTCTCACTCTCTTCCTGACTCCCAAACATCTCTCCTAGTCTCCACCCCCCCTGCTCCCACTCAACACACAGAACCACCTGGACTGGGGTTGTGCTGCTGCTTTTCCCCTCAGTGCCCACGTTAATTTGTGCCAACAACTCATTTCCCTGAGGTTTGCAGAAACTTCTTATCTTGAATCCATTTCAGGTCTTGGAGCCTGTTGGTCAGTTGCAGCAAAGTTTTACGGAAATAGATGGGGGTGGCAGAATCATATTTTCTTAGAAATTACATTTTTAGAGACAAAGACAAGGTATGCAACATGGAATATTTAGGTTACAGGAGACAAAGCCAATGGTTCCTGCTTTGGAAGCCCTGCAGTGAAAGAAATGCAGTTTGCACAGTGGGGACAGAGAAATGTTTTTGGTTCTTCCTGCTCAGTACTTTACTATCAAAAACCAGAAAATGCCAAAGCTATTTTATTACTATTTAAACAATGTTTCAAGATGCATTTTTTCTCCCTTGAAGGGCTGAGGAGTTATACCAACTTCATTTACCAGGCTGCATTACTTAACTAATCCTACAGCTTTAAGTCAGAGGTGAGCTGATGGGCTAAAAACATGCACTTTTAAGTCAGAGGAAGATGGAGTTGTTTTGTATTCAGAATCTCATTTATGTTTTATGAATCTTCTTTCCACTAAAGTGAGACTGCCAGCAAGACTTTCAGGAATGTAACTGAACCCCTAAAAGTGTTAGGGTGAATATGCACATGGGAAATGAGCAGTTAAAAAGAGCTTCAGTGGCAGGGGAGGGGACAAACCCTGCACTCTCCATTTTAGCCACACTATCAAAAATATACAGTGAAAAGTGCTTTTTGACTCTCAAACCACTGAGAAAAATCAACCTTATTCTACTTATTGCCAAGAAGAAAACAGGGGTGGGAGGTAGAGGCGGGGGAGAAAAATAGGTTGTTTCCAACCTGCAATGCATACATTTTTGAACCAGACTACAATCAGACCTTCCTAATGAAAAAACACTGTCTTTATAAGAAACTGGACTGCTCATGAATATGATCATACAGGCACTAATGACATTAAAGGTCACAGGATCACATTCTCTGTTCCATCTTTCCCCAAATGCTTTTCCCAGACAGCCCTATCAGTTTGTTTAAGATGGGGCAGTGAGTGAGCTAAAGAAGCCACTCCTGGAATTGCTGTGGGCAATTTCACAAGGAGTTTATACTAATCTAAGTGTGTGCTGCTGCTGCAAAAAGGATGCTCCATCTTCCCATTTCTCATTGTTTTGCCAAAATATGCCCTTCGTGAACATGCTGTGAGACCAACCAGAGACACAATGCAAAAGAATAATTAACCCAGGGACCAAAAAAAAACCAACCAAAAGACAAAAAAAAAAAAAAGACAACTCCATCCTGTAACATCCCAAATTTCAGCTAGATGGGTTCTTCAAGGGGAGTATCTGGCACAGGTTTTAGTGTCACTGCACAGGAGGGCAGCTGTGGATTTCTAGGGAATTGAGCTCTTTTGGTGACAATGCATGATGACATCAGCATTCAGCCCACGGAGCCCCACACTCAGAAAACTAAAGCCAAATTTGAAATTGAGCCTGGCAGCTCATGAAGAAGGCAGAGAAAAGAATGAGATGTACGTACCCCCTTCCTGCTTTTCTTGCATGCAGTCTCCAGAATCCCGTTGGCTTCGACAGAGTTTAGCACCTCTTTCACTTTTCTCTTCTTTTTCAAGGTTGCTGCATTCTGACTGGAGACTTTCATCCCTTCCAAGCCAACGAGCTTTGTCTTTGTCTTCAATGTGACCTTCCCGGAGGGCGCAGATTCAGACCCTGCATTTCTTGGCAGGGTCCCCAGCAATCCCTCCTTGTTGGGTTTCCTGTCACTTTGCTGCAGGAGGGGATCCCCATTCACCAGGACAGCTCCTGCCTTCTGTTTCTTCTTCACAGCCTTAGGAGTTAAGGGTGTGACAGATGGGCTGACACCCTCTGCTGCACTGGCATTAGCTGGTCCATTCTGACACGCTGGTTTCGCAGGAACGTTCTGTACTTTTGGATTCATTTTCTTCAGCTGACTCTTTTTACTCTGTTCTGCGTTGGTCAGACTGTTCTGTGCAGAGATACTGTGATTTTCTCCGGTGTCAGTTGCTACATTTGTGCTCTCACTGGCCTCATTTAGTAGCAATTTCTTTTTCTTCCTCTCCTTGATATTTTCTGGCACCTTTTCCTGGCTAGAAACATTAGATCCAGATGTTTCAGCTATTCCCTTCTCACAATTTCCATCAGCTGTTCCAGGATCGGCATTTGGGCCATCCCTCTTCCTCCTTTTTTTCCTCTTCTTCTGGGGAACTGATGGCATCTTCACACTTGACAGCTCTTCTTTATCCTCTAAATCCATCACAAAAAGAATACCATATAACACAGACGTGAAACACAAAGGTACTTACAACAATTTAATTCTATCCTGTTTTTGCTCTTTTCCTTTTCTTTTGAAACAGGTGTACCATTTTCCTGCTATCAATCCACATAACAGTTTTACTGTTACACCTGGTCAGGACACTGCAGTCCAATGACATCTGTCCTAATTAATATTCTGCCAATCTTGCCTTGCCACAGCTAACTTCTAAACCATTCCCTGTGGCAACCCTATTTTTTATAGCAGTATTTCTAGAAAGAGTTGTTATTACCCACCTGTCCAGCCCATCAGAAGGGCAACTCAGGGGTTCAATAGTTTGGTTGGATATTTTTGGGCATGGCTGGGCATGTGTCACATCAGTACAAGCCACAATGCTAAGATACTTGCACCTTGTTCTCACTAACCCTCTTCACCTTTCAAGAAACACCCCCAATATTCTAAGTCATCCTGTTTTAAGACTGACATGTTTCTGTTTTCCTACAGTAAATGCAACTGCTCAAAGGAGCAATGCAAACAACTGCTTCCAGTTCTGCTTTTGATAGAAATTTTTGAGGTGATGCTTGCCTCAAAATTGGTCAGAGAACTCCCACCACTTTCAAAGGGAACTTATTTTCACATTTAACCTTCATCTCAACAGGATACAAATCAGCACATCCTGAACAACAGCGTTGCCTTCTTCAGAACAGCTTTTATCTGACACTTGGCCAAACTGCTCAAGACACTGCAGATTGTCTCTCTTCCAAATGTTGATCTTGCCTTACCTTTTACTTTTTCCAACTCGCTTTTCTTCCAAGGCTTGACAGCTTTTTTCTTTCGCCTTCGCCTGCTGAATTCATCATCGTCGTCTTCATCTGTAGAAACATCTTCAGGAATATCTTGGGGGAAGATTCCTGTTGAGGAAGGATAAGGTATCAGAAAACTAATAGTTTTATTTCTATGAACAGTTGTGCTGTTCCTATACAGCAGAACTCCCACAGAAAGAAAAAAACAACTCCTTTTTCCCCCACTCAACCTGAAGGAAAATCACTCGATGGATTCCTATTTGTTTAAGTAAAAATAATCATCTTTCATTTAAGGACAAAGTATGGGGTTGCTCAAACTGTGAGAGGGATTTGGCCATCTCACCAAAAACATGTAATGTATCTTAAAGAGATTTAAAAAAAACACAACCCCCTAAAATAATATTCTTGAAATACATATTTAAAAAAAAAAAAAATATTTCCAATACACATGGTATGGGAACATTATATATCCTTTAATGGAAAGAAACTACTGTCTCTGTCTGGTGCTTAATTACTGTCTCTGTCCTTACCTTCTGCTAAGTCCTGGAACCTGAAGGTGGAGAGGGAGGGAGAAAAGAAAAAACAAATCAGTATTACTGGTTTTGTACCAATAATAACAGTAGCAGAACAGTATCACTGTACTTACTATGATTTTGTCAAAACAGGAACAACATATTCTGCACAGGAAGAGCCCATTCAGAAGAGACCTGCCTCAGAAATCCCCAAACTCAAACCAAACCACCGAAAGCACTGAGAAAACAGCAATTTAACACTTCTGTATCTGTGCCTTGCATCACACACAACCTGATGTCACATCCTGCAGCACAAACCCACCCTGTGCAGACAAAACCTCAGCTGGCTGCAGCTGCACCAGTGAGGAACAGCAGCACAGGCTTCAGGCAGCTCATGCACATCACCCAGGACTGTGACCTGCTCTCGTGACATTGTCACTGGGACAACTGAGGGTGGACAGGAAGCAAAGTGATAGTTGTTTAGGACAGGGTGGCACATGCAAGGTGTATTTCCACGGAACTCACTTTTTGACCAGCTTGTACAGACGCTTTCTGTTCCGGGAAGGTGTGTTTTTCTTGCTCGCCAATTCAAAGAGTTTGTCAGCAACAGCCTTGTAATCAAACTGTCAGAAGGGAAGTGCCACAACAAGTTTATTCATGCAAGGTAACCCAGTGCAACTCATGTTACCAATACTTCAAGTATTGAGTTCAGCCACTTCTTTTAAACCCCAAATATTTTTCTCTGTTGAAGTTTACGCCCCCTTTACACGTATATACTGACTTTTCCAGATTGTTGCTTCATTAACAGAACAGCTGAACTCAGTATCACTGTCTCAGATGTTCTTAACCTTATTTCTTGCTCAACCTACTTCAAAACTCCCATAAATATTTAGCTAAATATCAGATTTAAAGTGTGTCACGTCCTAATTCTTGCTTGAAAGCCACAGAAGCACAAAGTGCATCTACCTGCATGTGTGTTTGATGGGTGGATCTGTCCAAAACACTACACTGCACTGGGTCTAGAAAACCCAAATTGTAGCATACTACTCTCGCTCCTATGTGTCCCATCACCCATTACTTTTGCCCTTATTGTCAATGAAACTTAGAGCTGATTGCTTCACCACCCACAGTGACTTGGCATTTAACTCTTGAAACAGGAAGGGAGAGGCAGAAAACAGAAGGCATGGGAGAGAGGAAAGAAGAATTTAGAATTTAGACTTGGATTTATTTTACTACAACTCACAGAGTACACATTACACCAACATCACCTTACATTAAATCAGAAGAGAATTAAAATTTTGTAATATTTATCCATTAATGCCCTTTATTTTTGTACCTTTTGAAAGGGATGGGGAAAAAAGAAGAGAGAGGAGTATCAATAAGAGAGCAAAGAAGCCACAAACCTGAAGAACAGTCCCAATCCCGTCATCAGCCTTTTTATCAATATACTCTGTTTTTTCAGAGCTCTGCACTGATTTTCTTGAAAAACATCTGTCTGCAATTATAGAAAAAAGATTGAGTGTTAACGCTTAGTTTGTTTGAGATAGTAAATCCAAAAGGGCAAGCTTTGTTGAGCACATTTGAAGGGAAGACAGGAAAACACAATTATCCTTACAGCACCCTGAACAGAGCAGAAATGTATTTTTCAGAAGCAGATTTTTCAATCCTATCAAGTCTTACCAGGGCAACTTAGAACCTCCTCCTCACCTTTGGTTTTAGGCATCTCCTCCTTTTCCTGTTTGTCTTCTTCAGAAACATCCTCCTCATCACTGTAGTTACCCAGTTCTTTCATCAGGTCCTCGATGGCAAAGGGGGACTGATCCACAATCAGCTCAAAGATTCCAGTGGCTACAGCGTGCAGCAAACACCGACTGTGTGAGGAGAGAGCAGGGACAGAGCTGAAAGGTAGGAGTGTAAACACCCTCCCCTCTCACATTGAAAAAGTGGAAATTTGAGGGACACAGAGAAAGAAGTGGAAGAACATCTAGCTCTTCAGATGAGGGAACTGAACATGTTACTCCTTAAACAGAAGTCCTTCAGTCCAAACGGGATGCTAATGTCCCTCTCTTAATTTTCACTGCTTATATGTTGCTCTATATTACATTGCAACAACAAAGAAGATAACCAGTTCAGCTGCTCTATGCATGTTAAAAAAATAAAATAATGAGATATATTAACCAACAGAGGTTGGTTATAGTCCTTATAAGTCCATGTTACCTACACCTTTGATAAACACAAAATATCTTCAAATGACTGTGCACATTGCTGCTAAAATAACCTTCTTTCTCTACATTCTGAGGTTAAGACTCTTCTTCAATCCATTTATTACCATGTGGAGTGGTAAATTCAGATTTTCTAAATTCTTAAAAAATATTTGTCTTTTCATTAAACTTACTCCTTTGATTTGGCAGCAAGTCTGCAGAAAGGTTCAATGAACCTGAGATTCTGGTCTGCTGTGAGCTGCATGATGAGAAAGAAAAAAGCAGTGAGTACAGTAAATATTTTAAGTGTAGACTCAAATTCCTGAATATTTGGTGTTTGGGGGATCTTCTTAAACAAAGTCTTTCAGTATACTAAGTCCAACTGACAGGAGTATTTAGGGACTTTTTGTTACCACTGCTACTATTAACTCCCAGATATTCCCTGTAAGTATTATAAAAACAGTGACTGTCCTGCAGATTTTATTCTGCTGAGTACAAAAATATAACAAAGCTTCTTATTTTAATTATGGAAACACAAAGCAGAGAAAGCTTGAATAACTTCATGCACTTTCACAAAGAAGGTCTGTAGCAGCCAAGAATAAGATCTAGGTGTCTCTTAACTGGACTCCTTGGACCAAAACCCTGTCAGCTCCAGTAGCACTAAAGATAAATATACTTCCCTGAATTCAATTTATGAGCATCATCTGTGGTTTCAAATAGTTGAGGGGACTAACTCCTGAGGCTTCCTGTGAGTGGCTTAGCTACAGTTTTGTGTCTGTGGAGCTGCAGAAATGATGTGGGCTCCAAGTACAGGCAGAGATCTGTTGCAGAGATCTTTTCTCTCATGCTCCACAATCCAGAAGCACAAAAGCTGCAGGCAGGATTGCCTGCAATACTGCAAGGAATACAAATGGAAAATTGCTAACAGCTTTGCCCATTGCTAGGAGAAGTATCAGAGGCCAGAGACAAGGGAAGGTGACTGAGCAGGAGTCTGGGATGAGTGTGGGGCTGCAGGCAGAGTGGAGGGACAGGAGAAATGCTCTTTGGAAGACGTTCAGCAGTGACAGCTGCAGTAACAGGCTTCCAGTTGCTGCAAAACTGGAACATCAGCCAAAATTAAGGGCAACTGCAACAGCAACATACAGCAGAACAAGACAGACTGTCACCAGCAAAGTCAATAACTGGATGTGGAGGGTAAACTGCACAATGCACAGGCAACAGTAAGGAAATATCAGACAGCTTTGAAAGCTCACTTTCTTCCTCTATTTAGGTGTTACACAATGAGCCAAGAGCAGGCTTGATGTCAGGTTTTGCAAAAGCAAAGACTGGAAAACATGTTCACACAAGGGAGAAGACACTAAGTCCCTTCTGTTGAAACAAACAAATGAGACTGGTCTAACTTTTCTATTGCTATTTCCAACCTCAATTTGGAGCAGCATAGCAGTACTCAGGAACTTGAGAGAAACTACCACATTCTCACTGTCAAAGACATGAATAAAAGTAAAAGCATAACTTGTAGTAAGTCCCTTTCTTCATGCTTACTCAATGTGTCTAGGTTACAATTAAAACTGTTAAAAAATACATGATGCAAAAATGACATTTCTTCTAAAATGTTGCATGCTATGGTTAACATTAACCAGGAAGAAAATGACAACATATTTTCTAACCTCCTTTGCACCAACTTTAGCCAATTCATCCAGATAGATATCAATGAAATGTAACTTTATCCCAGTGGGAGAATTGCTGTCTGGGTCCATAACTTCTTTCATTAGTAGCTGCAGCAATGGTTCAACTAGACTAAAAAAAAAAAATGAAAAGAGAAAAAAAAGAAGATATTCATATTCAATTGCTCATGCTTTATTTGCCTTGAAAACAAACTCTAGTCATTCACAGCTTTACCAGCTCTTTACAATTCTGGACAGATATCCAACATTCATGAGAAATAAATCCAGAGGTCAATTTTCACAATTTAAAGCAAACTTTGAAAAAGATCAGAACTCCTTACAATCTAGATGATTTTGCAGCATCAGACAATCCACTCGACTCAGTTTGCTACAATGAAAATCACTGGTTTAGAATTCACACCTTAATTTTGGCTGAAGGTTATTATGCCATGTTATTGATGGATAGGAGGAGGAATTCTGCCATTTGAGCAGCTGTCACATGCATCCATCCTTGATGGGCAGCACCTTGTACCCTTCCATTTGAAGACAGAACTCTCTGCCACTGTTAAAGCTGGGTCTGGCATTATTGTGAATAATTAAAATTGCCCTTGTTAATGATGAATAAGAGAAAGCTGTAGGTGGGAAGTTGAGGTGAACATAGATAAGGGAAGAGAAAGGGTATCTGGAAAGAAAGGGAAGAGAATGTGAAAGAACATAACTTGTTTAGATAGAAGTTGCCAATGGTGGTAAATAGAGGGAAGTGAATAAAAGAAAGAAGGAAATAGCAATAAAGAGAATTCATTCACTTGGGTCTGTGAGGTGAAGGATGCTACAGTCAGTGCAGTAAAATTCAAAGTAACATGCCTCCATTTTCCTTTTTTCTATAGAGGCATGTTACCTATAGAGGCACAAATGAGACCCAGTTTCTAGATACAGGACTTCTTCTGTATAACCAGAGATGCCAGTAATTTTCTTTTACAGTTAGACATGATGATAGGAAAGGAAGAGAAGTCCATGAGACAATCTCCATTTCGGTCAACACACCCAAGGACTAAATTTAATACTGAACCTTCTCAAACTCATTTTAACTGTGCAGACTTTGCTTTTGTTAAATCACGTTATTCACTGTCCCTTAGAGCAAAACAATTACACTGAAGAACAGACTGAGAGAGAAACTAGGCATAAAAAAAAGTCACCATTGCAATAGTTCAAGCCAGAACTGACTGAGATGTGTGTGAGTAGCTCTGTGGTCCAGTTATTCACTTCTGGGGTACCAACAAATACTGCTGGAGTGACATTGCTCAGACATGCTCTCATTGCTGCAGCTGAGCAGCAACTGAGACTTTTTCCCTTTTCTTTTTCCTTTTTTTTTTTTTTTTCTTTTTCCCAAGACCTATCATTGCTATCTTTCAGGAAAGTGAAGCTATTTATATTCCAGGCTTTCTCCCGTGGCGTTCTTTGGCACTTCCTACAATTTTGCCCAGAACAAATGTTTCCAGCGCCAAAGAGAATTCAAAGCATCCAAATCCACAAAGATTATTTCAGTTTAATACACCTTCTTTCAAAAGCACTTTAAAAGAAAAGAGAAATGAAAGACATGCCAGGCAGCTTCTAGGCTCCACTTAAGGAGGGAAAGGCAGTCCTTGAGCTCCCTCACTCTGCAAA